TTGTCACATGGCCACTCCTGTCTTTTAAAGGAGGCTGGAAGATGCAGCTTTTTGAGTAAGGGTTTTTGCCCCTAAAAAAATTGAGGTTCTTGAGATAATATGTATTTTGGGAAAGTAACTCTCATTCTCTGTCACAGGGAGCAAGAGACTAGTTAAGAGACTATTGTTGGGAAGATGATGGTCGCTTGTGCTACAGTGGTAGTAGGTGGTGGTCGGATATGATTGGATACTTGATATATTTTGAAGCCAGTAGCCACAGAACTTAATGCTGGGTTATATATGAAAAGAAGAAGGTGGAGAGATAGGGTGACACAGGTTTCTGGTCTAATAATTCAGTAGATAGCATCATTACCTGAGATGAGGAAAAACAGAGAAAAGCCAAGGTTTTGTGGGTTTTTTGAGGGGGAGGGGAGCAGGGTGGTAATCTAGAATCTATTATGTATACATTAAATTTGACAAGCCTATTATATAGCTAAGTGGAAATCAATAATACCCTTTTAGATATTTCTGAGGATACTATTTAGAATCTTTTCCAAGGGTCATCCTCCCCCTACATTCCTCAGAAATAGCTCTATTTACTCTGGGGTTAGTTCTGTTTATTCTTATTGATCGTTCACTTACATGTACTGATTTTCCTCATATCTGATGAGCTTTGTTGGCTCACTTTATATTTGTGAATGAAGGAATATGTTGGTTGTATAGGTATTCTCTGTGTGACAGGCCAGCTTCCCTGGAGGGTATATGGGGATGGAAGAGGGCAGGCAGGATGGCTGGAGACCCTACAGCATTTCCAAAGAACCAGTGTATTTCTCTCCTGAATAGAACTTTCTTTCCTTCCTTTTTATCCCCCTTCAGTTATCTGATGTGAAAATGTGAGTGGCTGTAAGCTCTGCTCTGCTGCTCTGCTGCTCTTCCAAGGCTCAAAACTCATACAGGGTCCCCACCTAGGCAGATTGCACACTTTCTCAGAGAGCAGTTTTGGTCTTACTTGTTTTGTTGTTGTTTGTTTTGGTGTTTGGTGAGTGATTGGGGAAAGACAATGCTGCCAGCAATGTATGTTCTGTTTGCACTGAGAAAGAGAACAGTGATAAAGAAGGGTCCAAGTGATCCAGCTGTTCCAAATGCAGCTTTTTAATTAATACTATGACAATTGCACCATCCTCTGATTCTCTTTGTATATGTTGACCTTGAATTTATTGCTTCTCAGGCCTACCTGATTTCTGTTATTTAAAGCTCTGGTTTTCTTTCTTTCTTTTTATTAATTAATTAATTAATTTTTGGCTGAGTTGGGTCTTTGTTGCTGTGCTCTGGCTTTCTCTAGTTGTGGCGAGTGGGGGCTACGCTTCGTTGCAGTGCCGGGCTTCTCATTGCGGTGGCTTCTCTTGTTGCAGAGCATGGACTCTAGACGCGCAGGCTTCAGTAGTTGTGGCACGCGGGCTCTAGAGCACAGGCTCAGTAGTTGTGGCACCCGGGCTTAGTTGCTCTGCAGCATGTGGGATCTTCCCGGAGCAGGACTCGAACCCGTGTCCCCTGCATTGGCAGGCGGATTCTTAACCACTGTACCACCAGGGAAGTCCCAAAGCTCTGGTTTTCTTGATGGGGGTTTTCCATTAAGTCAATCCATCTGCTTTCCTATTTTCCAAACTTTCTCAACTTTCTGGATCTTGGCGTGTTACCTTACTGATTTCTAGTATTCCAATGGGATTTGTTAACCAAAATTTCAGAAATGGAGACCTGATTGAAATAGAAGGTGTTTATTTGAGGTCTGTTAGGACTGCAGCCTGGGAGACACATATTCAAGCACTTGAATTGTGTTCCACTGGACTACAAAATGGGGGAGACTTATAAAGGCAAAAACTGCAAGGTTACATTTAGTTACATGAGTTGTTTATCAAGAATTATGATTGGAGCAGCCAAGAAGTAAGGGTGCTTGTTAAGTAAGGATTGGTTGGGGTCTGAAATGGTTGCATAATTACAAGGGGAGACCTTAAGACCATAAGTTTGCAGCTGGCAGGTATTGTTCTGAATACTGCTGGTGGTGTCCTTGGGTCTGGTACAGTTCAGAGAAAGTTCAGGTTTTCGGTGGTGCAGTGACCACTGAATGATACCAGATCTTATCTGAGACAAGATCCTCAGTGGCCACCTGACTCTGTTTTTGTATGCCTGAACCATGATTACTCCATTATAATTTCAATTTGTCATCAGATTTTTCTTTTGAAAATATTATTTTCTGTTAATTTACTGGAACTTTGGGAAGTAGGAGAAGGTAAACACACATGTTCAGTCTACCATCTTGAAGCTCCTGTATTGGCTTCTTTTTTTTGTCCTTTTCTAGCATCCTGATCACTTCCCTCTCATATAACTATCCTGGATTTTTTAACTAACAAAAGTATCGTATGTTTATCTAATCAATAACACAGAGTTAAACAGAGTAAAAGTTAATTGCGTCCTCTTTCCTCTCCTCCAGAGTTACTCCCTTGAGAAAACAATGTTAACATTCTGTATCTTTTCATATATTTTTCCATGCTTATATTGGGGGGGGGTTATTTATTTGTTTTGTGTGTTTTACAAAAATTAGATCATATTTCTTCCTCTACTTTTTCTTCCACTTCCTTGTCTTACATATTTCTTTTAATTTTAATTTTCTACTAAATTCATTTAGGCAATAAACTTTCAAATGTTAGAATTTAAACTGTTTTTAAGGGAGATTTTGGAAAATTCAGGCAAAGAAAAACAAAATGAGCAAAGGAACAGGTGTGGAAAAGTACGAGATATATTTTTAGAATTCAGAGTTAGACACATTTTCCTGGAGAGAAACTATAGTGGGGAATACTGAGATACTTGCAGAAATTATTTAGAGTCAGTGTGTGAGGGCAATGAATAACACAACGTAGGAAGCTGCTGAAGATTTAAGAATAAAGTCATGTTATTAACTGCTTAATATTAATGAACACTTAAACCAAAAGTATTTCTTATGAAAGCGTCATTCATTGAATTATTTGAACTAACTTGATATATAATGAACCCCCTACAAACTAAAGGAGAAAATGTGTAGGAAAGCGGTTTATAGTACTAAGTGTTCTGCAAAGAGATGGTATCAAGTTTTCTCTAAACATTATGATGTTTTCAAAGCACCATTGTCTTTCACTGAAGTCTTGATTGTGTGGTAGTAGGAGCATCAGATGAAAATTTAGGATGCCTAGGATTTAGGCTACTAATCATCTGGTAATTTAGGGCAATAATTTCAACTGCAGATTTTTGTGTAAAACAAAGAGTAGGACTTTATTATCTCTAAAGTGTCATCCATCTCTAAAATGTCAGTGGTTCTGTGATTCTCTAATTGTTCCTGTACACCTTGATTTAGTACGAAGTGTTTCCTTAGGCAGTAAGTACCCATTTAACAATTACAGCTTGAGAGTCATTGAAAATGCTATCTCAGTGTAATATCAGATGCTATTTATTATCTAAAGCATTTCACAACCTTCTAGAATTAGATTACATTTGTTCTAACAGTTCTGTTTTCCAATTTTGTTTCTGCTTAAAGTTGCTGAGCATTATTTTGATTTTACACATTCAATAGGGTGAATATTATGGTGTCAGGGAAGCTAAGATTATATATATTTCTGATATAAATTTCTTTTGATTATATGCAAATTATGGTAGTTATGAGAAAAATACTTATTTAGTTTTTAACATGTTTAATATCTTTAATAACTATTGAAGGAATAAAATTATTTTGGGAAATATCCTTTCATTACAAGCAGTCTAAAATTAAAACTTCTCTTTTTATAAGGTGGCTTTTTCACCAAAAGAATACATTTCACCATCTTTCAAACCAGAATATATAGAATTCAAGCCAAAATATCAGGTACTGTTTTCTTATCCCAATATCAGCTATACTTAAATACTAGGTTTCTGTAATACTTTATGTAATTCAGTGGTTCCAAAGCCAGACTACCCAGTAGAAACACTCACCCATCTTTACAAAAATACATATTCCCAGGTCCCACCTCTGACCTAATGAATCTCAGTTTGGAAATGGAGCCTGGGAATCTGTATTTCTCAAAAAAACAAAACAAAACAAAAAAACAGGGATTCTTATGCTGTCACCTGGGTATCAATTAGCATTTGAAAACCATATGAACTAAAACAAATACTAGGCTGATTATTTCACATTTTGCTTTTTTTAATTGGATAATAGAGAAGTTGTATGAACAAAGAGTTTGAATAAGAGACTTCATTTTCTAGGCTATTTCAATAATAGAATAGCCTGATCCCAGAGCTTACAAAACTGCCTATGGCTATTACACTGACATTTCACTGTAACTGAGAATTTTTTGTACTGTTCTCTACCATTTCTGAGGCATATATAATATTTATCAAAAAGCAAGTTTCTACTGTAACATGCTAAGGACTAGGTGGAACTCATCATCATTGTTAAAACTCTCAGGTTTAAAGGCAGATGATCTGTGTTCCCAAGTCACTCTTTAGAGAATATTTATGATACTTTTAATGGAATATCTACTACTTGCTTTGCATTTAAAAAAAAATTACCCACATTGCTACTAAAATATTTATATGGATAGGACTTAGATCTTGATGTTAGCCTTTGTCTAAGCAAATGGAGCTAACACTGGAAATCGAGTTCTTAAACAAACAAACTATTGATGAGTGCCTTTTAAGTTTAAAAATATTCCAGGTAGCAAAAAGCTCTTGAACACAACATAGTATCAGAATTAGGAATTTGAAAAATTTGCATTAAAATTCTCATTATTATTCCAATTTCAAATATTTTAAAATAATTAAAGTTGGTTTTCTCTTTGTAGAAGTCAGGAAGATGAACAGATAAATTGGCAGATTGCTCAAAGAGAATTAACTAAAAATTTTATTATAAATTTAAAACAAATGCGTCTGAATTTCTTACCTTTTTTTTTTAATATTACAGTTCCAGAAATTCAACATCAAGAACGGTTTTGATCCTTTTCTAAGGAATATAAACAACAAAATGTCAGTCAGAAAAAGGAAAGACCAAGATATGTTCAAATGTAGAAATATTTTCAGTGCCGAGGTTATAGAGCATGAAGACCAAGATCCTCCTTACCCAACACATTCAAAAACTGCAAGCCCTGCTAATAAAACCTGGCCCCATAATCTTGATATCATCACAATAAAGGGTTTAGACACTAAGAATAAGTTAGCCAGTGATCCTGGTATCACCGCACTAAAGACTTCAGACCTTAAGAATAAGTTAGTCCATGATCCGGGTATCATCACAATAAAGACTTTAGACACTAAGAATAATTTAGCCCATCATCCTAGTATCACCACAATAAAGACTTTAGACACTAAGAATAAGTTACAGGAAAGGCTACCAAATGTATCTTTACCAAACTTTGAGGGAGAATCATCAATGACTGGAAAAGTCAATGTAAATAAATGTTGCCTCTCAAAATCATTAAGTCTTACTTCCCACATAGAAAATTTAAAACAATCAATGGTGCTCAAGTTAATTTTAAGTAAAAATCTGCAAGACCTTTCAAATATATTATTTTCTACACCTGAAGTTTCTATGGACACCGAAGCAAGAAAGAAAAGTCATAGTTCTCCACTTCTGGCTCTTCATGATGAACAACCAAGTAGTTTGGAAGGCGAAGTATTTGAAAAAATTCAAGATTTAAATAGCTGGCTTTCAGAAGGAGACATTTTAAATTCAAAGTCTCTTTTAAATGAAATAATTAAAGATATTCCCACAGATTCACTTTCAGAAGGTGGACCAGGAAATTCTCCAGAGGTAGAAAAGGAACCTGTCTCTGAAAAACACTTAGAGGCTGGTGAGATAGATTTTCCAATTAAAAAAAAGAGTAGTTTCAAAAAGAAACATTTAAAAAGTGAAGTATCTAGCTCCAAACCAGATTTGAATAGCCTTGTATATGATTATGTTATAAAGCAAATATTTACTGCACCGATCTTCTCAGAGCTGGGGAGAGGAGTGAAAGAATCGAGTGAGACACAGATAAACTCGCAGAGTCAATTACCCACAGCTTGGGAGAGTTCGCCTTCCAATGTTCTAATTCACTATGAAGAAAACAATAATGAAATAGAATTTCCGCTGGCCAAATCTGTTATAAGCCAGATAATACAAGCATTTCCTGTAGATACTCTTTTAGAATCGGGGATAATCAAAGTGATAGAATTAGATAAAGAATATCAGAAGGGTTTTTTGCTGTATACAGAGACAGCTTTTGCTGAAGAAAAGCCAAAGTATTCCACAGAGTATTATTCAGATATCAGAAGCAAAACAGAACCTCTTTCAGAGCAAAATACACCCATCATTCACAAAGAAACCACTTCTTTTAATGGAGTTGAATTCACAGACAAAGGCCAAAATAGATCCCCACAAGATTCAAAATATCAGTCGACACCAGATAAAAAAACAGATTTGCCAAGCAATGGTCAGAGGCTTGATAGAGAAGAAAATGATCTAAGTTCTACTTTAGAAAATTTAAGTAACACACTAATGGGTAAACTTAATAACTCTGATGTAATAATGTTAAAATCCCTTTTGAAAAACATATTTAATGTTTTTTTCAAATATAGTCAGTCTAAAAGCAGACAACCAGAAAAAGAATTAGAAAGACTAATTGAACATCCTTTTCCAAGTCAGACAGAAGACCTTGAAGAAATCGAAGAGAATTTTGATAAAGTAGACAAATTGGGGAGAAAACCTATTTTGAATCCAAAGCTGCATGTATTTCTAGAAGAACTCTCAGAGTCAGAAATAAAAAATTTTAAATCTGAATTAAGTAAACATATCCAGCATTACCTTGTAGAAAGGCTTTCAGAATCAGGATATATCAACAAAGAGGACTTACCAGAAATCTATCAAAATCTGTATTTGATGAATGAGAAAGTAGAACCAAAAGGGCAAAATATTTTTCTGGAGAAATATTCAGAAACTGTAAAAGAAATCATGTCTTTTATAAATAATTTTAATCATCATTTCATAGATAAACATTTGGAAATAAAGCTAAGATCTTTTTTAAATGAAATTCTCCAAAACTATTTCCTAAAAAACCTTTCAGACAACAGTTTATTTAAAGACGCAGAACCTGAGCCTATACACTCAAATGTATCTTCTCTAAGAGCTAAAAGTGCCTCAATATCTTTTCATGAGTTAGGACAAGATATTTCAAGAGGGAGTTTTGGTAGTAGGCTTGAAATAAACATGAAATACCCCTTAAGTAAATCTCTACGAAACTATATTATAGCTTTATCAGAAAATGAACTCTTAGATCTAAAAGCTGATTTAAGCAAACACCTCCAGAGCCTTTTTATAGAAAAACTGTCAAAATCAGGACTAATCACAGAAAGGCAATTAGAGGGGATAAGCCGGCATATAAATTTGGTTAATTCTACTTTCACACCATTAAAATGTATAAAGCCAGATTTGTCTTTAAGAGATGAAAATCAGTTTGTGGAGGAACATTCAGAAAAGCAAAATAAATATTCAAAAATTGCTCAGAAAACCACTTTACAAAAGGTTTCTGAAGATAGACTTGTAGAAACAGAGTTGACCAAAAAGGAAGAAAAGGAACATTTTTCCTTAGAGAATATTAAAGAAAGTCCATCACTAATTCAGGAACAGAAAAGATACTATCCTAAGGAAGCGAAAATACTCAGTTTAATTAAAGTACAACCTTGTTCCAACAAAAATACCCAGGCAATTCCAGTAAATAAGTCATCAGAAAGACTTACAGATACAATGCCTAAGAAACAAAGGAAAGAACACGGTTTCATGCAGTTTCCTCAAGCAGAGAACTGTGATTTTAAAACAGAGATACAAGACCCACATAGTTGGAGTGGTAAATCAAAAATAACTCAATCAAATGCTTGCTTTGAAAAGACACTGAAAATGAAGTCCCTTGACAAAAAGGAGCACAATAACACCTATAAATTGATAGTACAGGAAAATCCTGAAGCAGTGCTGTCACCGTATCCAAGAATTCCTAATTGCAAGATGCCAAATGAAGATGAGGAATATGTAAACAAACTCACTTTTCCTTCCAGGCAAAGTAATACTCTAACTCGCCTCAATGCAGAGGCTGGAGAGAAATCAAAATTAGAAGACTAGTATCGTCAGAGATGGAAAGGAAATAATAATAATTATAGAAAACAACATTTAGTAACATTTGCACATTACAAAGAAGAAATACAAACTCTTTATATAAAACCAAACAAACTCTTTATATAAAACCAAACAAAAGGTCCCTGAATCACAACAGCTTAAATATAAAGTTTTGATAGCTGAGAAAAACTCAAAACCATCCCTCTTCCCAGAAGTACTAAAGAGAGAAAATCTAAAGCCCAAGGTTCAAAAAGAAAGAGACCATGTCGGCAAACAAAAAAAGTCATTTAACAAGATAGTATATTACCAACCACACTGCCCACCACAGGAATTCTTCTAAGAAAATCTGTTCCAAGGGCATTGCTTCATTGGACTGCAAGAAGAACTATACACGTAATAATGTTTTTCTAAGTCTTTTATTTCTGTATTTGGCAAAGTTCTGTAGATAATCTAGAGTCTATGTGTCTGCATGCAAGTATGTATGTAACCTTAACTGCCCCAAGATAAACAGACCTCCAAATTTTAAAAATTCTTCTGACATTCAGATATCACCTCACCTCATTCAAAGGCAATCAGAAAATCAAGGGAATGTTAACACACTTAGTGCCTTTATGTAAAATAAAGGGGACCCCCCTCTAGATCACGAATTAGAAAAAAAGCATTCTTTCCTCCAGGCCGGCTCTACCGGCCGACACAGCCTGGACAGGGTACACAGCTCTGTCTACGGAAGACTGGCTATTTCAGCCCTGACTGACCCCTCAGCCAGGGGCTGTTGTGCAGGCACAACCTGTAAAACCATTGGCAGTGGCTGTATACTACAGAAAGGCTGGGATTGTCTTTTCATGCAGATATAAGTATAAATATATAGTCTTTTTGCAGATTGCTGAATTATCTTTGTTTCAGTAAAACAAACTAAGTTCATATTATGTGCCAGTTATTCTGCTAAGCCTTAGAGATATGCAAAATTTACAATCTCTTGAATTATGAATTGTAAAATTTTAATTTAGCTTCTACTCTTTTCTTTTCTCTCTCATCACCACCCCTCTGCCATCTGCTGAGAAACATGGAAATTCATATATATTTTTAATATTAACATAAAACAATTAGGAAGGTAAATCTGCTACTAGACGTTATATAAACCATTCAAAAGCAAAGTTAAAATCTCTAGGAATGGAAGGGGCTTATTTTAATTTTCTGAAACACTGCTCTTCTCTATTAGCATATATAGATAGGCATGACCCACAGTTGGGAAAACGCACAAATTCTAAAATGAAATTATATTGATAATTTGATGTGCATAACTATCTTTGAATGAGAAAATAGATCTAATTTCAGAATAGTTGCTTTGAATTTGTTTTCCACAGCAAAGCAAATGATTACCTCTAGTAAATAGTAAAGCAAACATGTAGCAGGGTAAATATTATCAACATACTCTCAACTTTGTATTTCTCTTTTCTAAATTCAATAATTTAATAATGAGTGTGTGTGTGTGTGTGTGTGTGTGTGTGTGTACAGACAAGGAAAAGGAAGTAAAAGATGGGTTCATAGTTTTTGAAAAGCAAAGACTTTCTGAAGTTCCCTCAGATAAGTGGAATCTTTATTATCACTTTTCCAAACAAAATAAGAGATTGTGTTTATGTTATATGGTATGGGATCATATAGGATCTCAGAACCTTTATCCTAAGAATGGATAAGGGAGATAGTTATATTTACTTCCCTCTGTCAAACCAACAGTACCTAAACTTTTCTCTCTAGTAAAATTGACAGCAGAGAATTTGAGAGGTAAGAGGGCATTTTTCAGATCATCAGAAAGACTCGCTCATTTGATTCTCTAAAATCCAGGAAATCTCCCAAAGCAATCAAAGTAGAAGACAGGGAAATTGAGTTGTAGGCGCTTCCAGAAAAATAACCAGTGGTGTGGGTCTCCGTGCCCTTCTGCTGTCACTCTAGTAATGTTATATCAACTGTCAAGTAAAAATTATATGTTATCAATGTAGCAGAAATTCCCTTAATAATTGCTTAATAATTCCCTTACCTAATTGCTTCCATGTATATAAGATGGAAAAGGAAGAATGTTTACTTGCAAACCCAGGCAAAAATATGGACTCTTCATACCTCCTTCTTGGTAAATCTTCTCTCTCTTGCTGCCGTAATTCTTCTTAGTCCTGCCTAAATTCCTCCTACCTGCCAGTTCTATTAATCTACTCCCACCTTCTCACCAAATCAAAGCAGGCCCATTCCCTTGGTGTGGCCATCTCTGCAAAGCATTAAGGGACAAACTGCTCAAACTGCAGAGGAAACTAGTTTACACTAATTTGAGAAATGACTAATAACTCCATACCCTCTTATGGGTACTTGTAGATTATTATATTTTTTAAATAAAATATAGTCATATTGTACAAATTTGAAAAAAAAGAGAAAAGGAAAACTAAGCCCATAATCCCACCACCCTAAAACAACCATCATTTAAAAAAATTATTTTGGTGTATTTCCTTCCAGTTATTTTCCTAAATATTTTACTTGTTTAGTCTCAGAATGTACACAAAAATTTTTAATATTTTAGTATAAACATAAGCATATCCTTAGATGCTGACCTCTGTATGTGTGTGTATATAAATATTAAAGAAGGTATTTATTAACTTTTAAAGAATGAATGTTTGGATGCTTTAAAAAGTATAATATAAGAGCTTATAATTTATGTTTGGGGTTGGGGAAGAGATATTTTAGAAGAGGAGAATTATAGGAGGGCTGTCTTTGCCTAGGAGTCTGACCCCTGAGGACAGGTCCCCTAAGATTTCTGGTTTTCAGCTCATATCTTGCATACCTTTTGAAATAACAGATCCTTTGAAACAATGAGATTTTTTAAAGTATGGTTTTTAAAGTATCTGATGGCAGGCATTGAATGTAGGGTCTGAATTTGGGGACTGCCTATAAAACATTTGACTGCTCTCATTCTTTGTTGATATTACAAACTTTAGTCCTTGTAAGTCTAAAATGTACTTTTAAGAAACCTAACTCACCAACCTGATCTTTTATTTTAATATTTAGGATTGTTCGGATAGAGTTGAGGATTTACATGTAACTTCATTTAAGCATCTTGAAAAAGCAAAATCAAGAGCAAGGCTTTTAGGAAAGAGCCCAAGTGACAGCCATAATCAGTTAAAATGCTCTGCAAGACCGTATACTGCTCCAGAGGTTAACAAACAAGGAAGCTACACTGGAAAATTTACAAGTCCTCGAATGGTTTCAGTAGGCTTAGTTCATATAAATGATTCAATCCCAGATTATGAAATCCATAAAATGCAGCCAAAAAAAAAATTGAGTATATTGAAAAATGTTTGCTCATTTGTGATATTATCCAGATGTTAAACAGTTCAGAATGATGTGTGAGACCAATAGTCAGAATGTCATTTCTCCAATTAACAAAATGGTTTGGAGATCTGTCCTTTTGTGTGATAGAAGTCAGTAACCAAATTTCATTTTGTTTTAATTAAAATGAAAAAAACACTGTTGATGTAAATGTGTTTTGTTTATGAATCTTAGAGAACCACCTCAAAGATACATAGTCATTAGTGAAGTTTTATTTCCCAACTTTTCCCCTTTTTCACTATTCTCTGATTTTCCAAATCTTTGCTATGCCCTAAATTATCCCTGACCACCCAGTGTCAGGGTATCTATTTGCAGTTATGTATGTTCAGCCTTTTGTTATGAATATACTTTAACTCTTCAGCTCTAGATTCAACAGTATGCAATTCCCTGGGCCTACAGAACATCTATTAATTTCAATATCATCTGATATTACAACTTTTTACACTATAAAGATAATAAAAAACAAGTTTCATACTACTAATTCCTGAGGCTTCTAATACACTGAAGTGACTTTCTAGCTTACTCAAAAAACTATGAGACAGCCTCTTTAATAACATGAAACTCAGGAAGAAACTGTATAAAACAAACTGCATTAAAAATTAGCTAAATCAGCGTAGGATTTAGATTAAGAGACTTTTGATAATTGGTTCTATTCTTATCAAATACAATATTTGAATCTTGCTGAACTTTGGTTCACTCTTGGGGAGTAAGAATTTCAATTTATAGAATTTTCGTCCATTTCCATTTTTCTACCATAAATCATAAAGTTTATGGAGTTTAAATAGAATTGGCTGATAGAAAACATAATTTCTGATCGTTCATTTAATGCCATAATCAAGGTAGTAATTTTGGGGGGGAGACCAAGAATTTCTAGTAATTCTCAAAGTTGCCAGTACATATATCAATCAGTGTGACTGGGAAAGCACAATTACCTCTGGATCTTTCAAGTAGAAGGAACACAGGGAATTGGTTTCATGGGTGATGGAACCAAGGCTAAGAAACTAAAAGGGATGATGTGGCAATCCAGAGATTGGCAAGAGCAGAAAGTGATAGCACCCCTCAGATAGGATATCAGGAAGAAGTGGTGTGACCAGTGTCCTAAAGCCAGAATACAAAGAAGATACAGCCACTGACAGACACCACAAGAAACAGGGGAGTGGGGCAGGGGGTGAGAAATAACTATGTTTCTTCTCTCTCATCCTGCTCTCTAATCTCCTGCTATTGCCTCGCTGGAAACCAGAGAGTGAGGGGGCATGGGAAATGTAGTTCCCAGTGAAACAGAGCAGAGGAAAAGTGGAGAAATGGATTTGAGAGCTAACAGGCAACTAACCAACAGTACTTATGGGGAAAACCATTGATCTAGCTTGCAGTAAAGGAAGGAAATATTTACTAGATGGAAATCTCAAGTCACTTTGCCTCATTAAACTCTTAACAGCAATATTGTGACATGGTCAAAAATTTCCTACCATGGAAATAAAATATGCCAAACATTTTGCTAAACTACATTCTTGTGAATAAGACAGTATTCTCAAGGAGTCCACAGTCTACAGGGACATAAACACAGAAGTAGTTATAGTAGAGTTGTGTAAGTGTTGTTGGGGAAAGTACTATAGAAACTCATGGGAGGCCATTTTGGCCAAGGTGGCTGTGCTACTTTGGGTCCTTCAGAAAGCAGATACCAAGATGAGATTAGCCATGTACGGTAGGCAGAATAATAACCCCTCCCCCACCAACATACAAACATCCCAATCCCAGGAACCTGTGACTATGTTACCTTACATGGCAAAAGAGATTTTGCAGCTATGATTAAATTAATGATCTGGAGCTGGAGAGACTATCCTGGATTGTCTGGGTGGGCCCAACATAATCAAAAGGATTTTATAAGACAGAAGCAGAAGGGTCAATTCAGAGGTGTGGTCACTGAAACAGAAGCTGAAGTAATGCTGACCCGTGAAGCAAAAGAAGGCAGGTAGCTTCTAGAAGCTGGAAGAGGCAGAAATTTCTCCTCTAGAGCCTGCAGAAGGAATGTAGCCCTGCCAAATCATTTTACAATCCTAACCTCCAGAACTGTAAGATAATAAACTTGTGGTGTTTGAAGTCATTACCACTTTGTGGTAATTTGTTACAACAGTGATAAAAAAAAAAATTGACGTAGCATGCCAGGAGCCTATGGTGCAACACTTAAGGCATTAACTCTCAGGGTGAGGCTGTCAATATCTACTGAGATGGTTAATTTTTTGTGTCAATTTGACTGGGCCACAGGGTGCCCAGTTACATGATCAAACGGTATTCTGGGTCTTTCTGTGAAAGCATTTTTGGATGAAATTAACATGTAAGTCTGTAGACTGAAAAAACAGATTGCCCTCCTTGATGTGGTGGGCCTCATCAGTTGAAGGCCTGAACAGAAGAAAAAGGCTGATCCTCCCCTGAGAGAGAATCCCTCCTGCCTGAATGCCTTCACACTGGGATATCAGCTTTATCCTGCTTTTGGAGTCGAACTGAAACATCAGCTCATCCTAAGTCTTCAGCCTGCCAGCCTTCGATTTGGAACTACACCACTGCTTCTCCTGGGTCTCCAGCTTGCCTACTCACCTTGCAGATCTGGGATTTGTCAGCCTCTATAATCATGTGAGCCAATTCCTTATTTAAAAAATCCACTGGGGGGATGGAGATCAAGATGGCAGAATAGAAGGATATGGAGCTCACCTCCTCCACAAATATATAAAAATAATCTATACGTGGAACAATTCTCACGGAATACTTACTGAACGTTGGCAGAAGATCTCATACAACCAAAGCTGCACGAAAGATCACCATGTAAACTGCGTAGGATAAAAGGGGGGGGGAAGTAATTGGAATGGGACCTGCACCCCTCGGAGGGAGCTGTGAAAGGGAAAAAGTTCCCTCACCCTGGGAACCCCTTTCACCAGCTAGGAGGTCAGAGGGGACAGATAGGGAGCTTCAGAGGCTCAGAAGAGAGTGTAGCAGCCAGTTTGTGGCAGGCAGGAGAGAGAGAGACCAGGACAGACAGTCCTTGCCACCTCACTGCACTTCCCAGCCCAAGACACGCACCTGCTAAGGCTGAAATCTGGGCAGATTACTGCCACTCCTACAACGGGTCCGGGTACGCAACTTCAGTGGATTTATACCAGTGGCTTTGTGAGTGCAGCGCCTGAGGGACATCCAAGCTGATTACCAGCATTCCCCAGCTGAGGCGGGTCTGGTGCCAGGAGCAGCAGGTTTTGTGGGTGCACACAAGCAGAAGCAGGGCTGAAATCTGAGCTGATTACCGGCATTCTCACAGCAGAGGCAGGGCCGAGGGCAGTGCCAACAACAGTGTATTTTGTGAGCACATGCACTAGGTAACAGGTGATGGCACAGAGTGCCCGTCCCAGTGGACAGCCCCTGGAGAGGAATATGGAGCAGCTCCTTTCCCAGAGGGAGTGCTCCAATCCCACCTACCTCACAGTGCAGCTTAGAACTGGATCTGGGGGCTTCTATTCCAACAACTGGCAAGCAGACCCTGCTCTCGATAGGGCTGTGACAACCACAGAGCAGAGGAGGCCCTGCCCAACATCCAGTGCAAGCTCTGGTCATCACAACACCAATCATACCCCATATCAAGGGGATGACGGCCAGCTAACTCTGAGGAAAGACATGGCAGGCATCCATACCAAAAAACAGCCCTCACACCAAAAATAATGGACTCACGGAGGCTACACAGCGATGCTCCCACATAAAAACAGCCCTTTGAGACCACAGTAGATAATTGTTTCCCCTAAATTCAGAGTCAAAGAAATATAAGTGAAAAAGCAGAGGAAACACTCCCAATTAAAAGAAGAAAAATCCCCTGAAAGAACAAACAATGAAACAGACCTCTCCAGCCTGCCAGACTCCATGTTCAAAAAGGAGGTAATAAAAATGCTGAAGGAATTAAGAAAGGCTGTCAATAGAAATGCAGATCACTGTAACAAGGAAATAGAAACTATAAAGAGGAGCCAGTCAAAATTAGACAACTCAATTGTTGAGATGAAAACCAAACTAAAGACAATAAAATACCAAACTAAATAATGCAGAGGAACGAATAAGTGATCTGGAAGATAGAATAATGGAAATCACCCAATCATAACAGAACGCTGAAAGACAAATAAAAAAAAGAAAAGAAAGCGACATATGAGACCTATGGGCTGATATAAAGGATGCCAAGCTGTGCATAATAGGGATCCCAGGAGGAGAAGAGAAAGGGGGATCTAAAATGTACTTGAAGAAATTATGGCAGAAAATTTCCCAAACCTAATGAAGCAGATGTCCAGATAAAGGAAGCACAGAGGGTCCCAAACAAGATGAACCCAAACAGACCTATACCAAGACATATCATAATTAAAATGGCAAAAGTTAAAGATAGGATTCTAAAGGCAGCAAGAGAAAAAACAAAGAGTTAGTTACAGAAGAACCCCCATAATGCTATTTGCTGATTTCTCTACAGAAACCTTGCAGGCCAGAAGGGAATAGCAAAATACATTCAAAGTCCTGAAAGGGAAAAACCTGCAACCTAGGATATTCTACCCAGCAAGATTATCATTTAGAATAGAAGAAAAAATTAAAGAATTTCTCAGGCAAGCAAAAACTAAAAGAATACAGCAATATTAAGTCTACCCTAAAAGAAATATTGAAAGGTTTTCTCTAAATAGAAAAGAAGAACCCATAGGAAAGGGAAAATCAAAATAGGGAAAAGCAAGTATGTAAAATGATTGTACACCACTTGAATAAGCCAGTACACAGATTAAAAAAAAAAAAATCAAAGAATTTTGTGAAAGCAATTATAACTACAATGAACAGCAAAAGGATAAACATGAAAATGTAAAACAGGACATCAACGTCATAAAATAGGGGAATAAGAAAATGTAGATTTTTTAGAATGTGTTTGAGCTTATAGGACCACCAGTCTAAAGCAAGTAGACACAATAATGAGTTAACATACTTGAAAACCAGTGTAACCA